GGATTCTCTAAGCCGTGTGCAGTTCGACGTGTTTGATCAAAGACTAACACGAGGGATTTTAGGGGCTCCCTCTTTGCTTTTCCAATTGAAACTGAAATGGTATTCATGGAGGGGAACATACTAACATGTTTTCTAGTTACGTTGGCATATCCACATTGGCATGCTAATACAAATAACAAATGGCAAAGGGGGAAACTTTCTTTCTTCCCTAATGCAATGCTAACTGAAGTAGTCAAATGGTATTTATCAAAATCCAACTTTGTTGAAATTTTGGTCTCCCTTTTTATTTTGTGATTCAGATTGTCTGCCCTCAATTTGTTAATTGGCATTGTAAAATGTAAACCAATAATAATGCTCTTTATTTCCATTTGGTTTTATTCTTTGGAACTTCTGAAACAATGTTTTGGCTTTTGGTGTAATATTAGCATTTTGTTCTGTAATTAGATACAAAGATGAAAGCATATATAATGGATGATGACATATATAATACTCTGTACCATATATGTTTTCCATACAAATGAATAAGGATAGCAATTCATTTCTATAACTGAGTTGTTAGAGTACGAGCACATTTGCCTAATTTATGAAAATACTAAACAATGATAAATAAAATTTTTACATGGCGTTTGGTTGGAGGGATTTTAAATTTCCTTCCCACTTAATTCCCACCTAATTTGAAAGACCATTAAATTCCGTAGTTTGGTTGGAGGGAATTGCAATTCCCCCATTTTCATGGAATTAAAATCTCATGTCCCCCTAGTATTTTAATTCCTGGGATTTTAGGAAGAAAAAAAAATACTGATGAGACAAAATTACCCTTCTCTTTTTAACCTAAAATGAACGTCTGATCTTTCCTTTTAACAACAACAATGGGTAATTTGAACTTTATACTACTTATTCCCTTTCAATTCCCATGTATACCAAACATAGGAATTGAAATTCCCAGTAATTCTATTCCTGTCAACCAAACACTGGAATTTAAATTCCCACTTTATTCCCAGTAATTCAACTCCTATAGAATTACAATTCCTTTCCCACATAATTCTCCCCCTCCAACCAAACGCCCTGTTGAAGTTATAGCACCGCCAGAGACGGAGGCAGCCTGGGGGCAGTGGGGGCAGCTGCCCCCACTGCCCAAAATAAACAATGTAGTTTTGGGCTGTTATATATAAATATATTTTTTTAATTTTCTTGGGAAAATGACACTTTTTCCGCCTGAGTTATATACTTATAGCACTTTTTTTTCCTGAATTATTTAAGTGGCTCTTTTCCCCCTGAAATGTTAAATAGACATATTTACCCTTAAAATAAATATTTAAAATAAATATTTCATTTATTTTTCTTCTCCAACAAATTATTACTATAATTTGGTTCAAACCAAACAGATACTATAGCAACCAAACCAAAATATTACAATTACAATTTATAATTAAAACGCGATATTTAGAGTTTATTAAAATCGCAAACCGGAATGGCCTATTCATGTTCCTAACTGAAAAAATAAAATACATTTATTGTTTAATTTAGATTATTTTAAAATAAAAAATAAAATTTTAAAATAAAGACGGTTTAAAATCGCGAATCGGATCCGGAACCGCGGTTCACGGTTCATGATCCAGTTTTTTTTTTTATTCTTAAATTTAATAAATTGAAATCCAAATATTGGATTCTAGATCTGAATCATAACTGAAAACTTTTAATTCGATTGCTATAGTGTCTGGTTCAGTTCGAATCCAACCGTGGTAGTCGCTACATATACGCAATAATTTGTTAGAGAAGTAAAATAAATAAAATGTTTACTTTAAGGGTAAAAATGTCAATTTAATATATTAGGGGAAAAACCACCACTTTTAAAATAATTGAGGGGCTAATATGCTTACATAAATAATTGAAGGGAAAAAAGTGCTATAAATATATAACTTAGGGGAAAAAAGAGTCATTTTCCCTAATTTTCTTTTTACCTTCGTTTCCGATGCGACGTGAGACTCCTTCAGTATCCGCGAGACTGCGACTTCGGACTTCCTCTTCAGCCCTCGCCACCGCCCACCACTCGCCACCACCAGAGACGAGACCAGACGGCGCCTCTTCCTCGCCGGTCGCCACCGCCTCTGCCTCGCCAGACGCCACCGTCTTCTGCCTCAGTTCACACCGCCTCTGCCTCGAGAGTTGCCAGGTTCATCTTCTCGTCTTCTCAATTCTCACCCCTTACCCCTTGTTCAATTTGTTGGCATGTTTGCTTAATTTGCTTAATTCATGCCATTGCCCAAGTTCACCTAATTTTGCTCTAATATGGTTTTTCCCTAAATCTTAATTTTGTCCTAATTTTCTTTGTTGACGAATTGCTGTGTTGCTTTAATTTGAATTGTTTGTGGTGCTGCCTGCTGGTTTAATTTGAATTGTTTGTTGAATTGCTGCCTGCGAATTGCCCTAATTTGGTTGTGCCCTTTATTGAAGTGTTTCTTATTAGACTCAATGATTTCGCCATTTTATTTAAAAAATTTAATGGCGAATCTGTCATTAAAACTAGTTGATTCTGTTTTTGGACTATATAGTGAACTTTCTCAGATTTTTTTTTCCCAAGAAGGTTGATTCCTCCAATTTCTATCCCCTATCACCTATTTCCCTGAACTTAATTTCCTTTTCTGGTTTAGTGGGCTGCAGCACAAAATGACAGTTAAAACATCTAGTCAAACATGATTTCCTTCTAGCATCATAGCAAGGTTCATTAATAAACTCCTCAATTTTATATACTTAGAGATTTCCTGTCAGCAAAACAAGAAATTTATTTATGAGCTCATTTGAAGTGATGATCTCTAATTCTCTATGAAAAACACCTTCAGTAAATGCTGTTGCTTGCAGAGTTTAATCTCAGTTTCACAATCTACTACTCTACTAGTCAGTTCTAACATATCTGGATGTTTATACCCTGAATTGTATTACACTAGTTTTAGTTGCACTGGCTTTATCCAAAAACGTTGCTTCTTTATCTCTTGGGTTCAGTTGCGGTGAACTCAACTTTATGGTTGGTTAACAATATATAGGTACCACAGGTTCTGAACAAATTCCTCCAGAGTCTAAAGTGACTTCCGCAAATGCATCTTTGAGAGTGAGACTGATGTCTGTTTTCTGCTGATCAATTTCAGCAGCAAACAGTTTCCCATGAACGTTACAGTTCTTCAGATGCTTTAGAGAATCACATAATATTCATTTTGTATATGCATGTGTGTATAAAATTTAAAGGAGCACATAATTTCTTTTGGATTTTGAGGTTAGAACAAAGTAATGCATTAATTTATATAAAATGAAATGAAGATTTTTAAAACTAGAAATGTGTAAGAAAGGGCATCTTTGGTGAAAGAACATGGATCTTCTCTGGGTTTGACACTAACAGAGTTCCTGACACTTTTGGGAACCTTTGTTGAGATATGAGCCCTTTTGCTTTTTATGGGAAACCTTTTGTGTTCTGATCTAATTGCTTTGTTTTTAAAGAGCAACCTTAGTTTATTGAACTAAAATTTGGAAACGGGGGTATCTCAAACAATTTTTAAAGGGGGCATGTGCCATCAATGAATGTTAGTACTTCCTTTCTAGTGTACTTGTCTGTTGTTTTCATTGGGTGGGAGGACACTTGCTTTAATCATCTTGCTTTCTAGGAAACAATACCACCTCAAGGTTGAAGCAGTTGGGAATGGAGTTTATATGGGTTTAAATACGTGAGTATTTAATTATTTATGTTGCATTCTTTTCCCACTCAGTTATCTATCACAATTCACACATACCTTAAAGTTGCTGTGGATAAACTAACTTTTCCATCAATGAATATATTATTTATAGTTTGAATCCCTGATTTGTTGAAACTTGAATTCATCAACGTGAATTCGTGAAAAGAGACAAATATGGCCTCATCCTGAAACGAATGATCTTCATCTCTGGGATTCAAAAATTTTTCCCCTAATTTTATCTTTCGCTCCTTGTGTTATGAATTATGAGGTTTAAGGTGTGATAGCAGGCAAAGGGCCACCGCCTAGTGGTAGTTGTGAAGCTATATTTGTTAACAAATGAGCAAGTCGAATAACTAGAGAGCAGGAGATGGGATATGATAATAGATGGATTTCTTGATTGTATGCAAATTTTGGCAATGAGAGTCTCGGCTCGTCTTATTATTACAATGTGTTTTAGTTATGGGACTTGACTCTTTAGCTAACCTAATGATTCTTGAACATCCAATATGAGTAAATTAAGAGAATATTCAATTGCACTTTGCTTTCCAACACTGCAACTTGCAGGAGAGGCAACAGGAATGAGTAATTCTTCATGGTCATCGTTAGTGTTGTAAATTTAAGGGATATTGAGCGTGAGGTCTGCTAATAAGTGTGTGCTTCTGGAATGAAGCATGCTTAAGTACATGTTCTGCAAAATTTTAGGGAAATCACTAAGATCATCTGTGGTTATATCCTGGATTCACCTGATTCAGTCTAGATTATGACAATTGGCTGATGAAGGCAAGAATCTCCAATAATCAACTTATTCTTCTCTTTATATCGTGTTCCAAAGCAAATTTCTTGGGGAAGTTTAAAATAGAAGAGAGGCCAGAAGTTGGTCTCCATTTGGAAACTACTAAATTTTAACAGTCAGTGGCTTAATATTTTGTGGTGAATCTTTATTCTTTTCAAAAATCATTTAAAAAAATGTATTCTTTTGGGGTTACACTGTTACAGGAAGGATGAAGTCGGGAAAATAGACCTGTTTGGGTTAATAGATGCCAAGGGAAAAGGATAACACGCTGAATTCTTAAGCTACAAGTGCTTTGAATGCCATAACAAACAATGGTAGAAGAAAAATAGGAAATTTAGTAATTTATATAAAGTGTGGATTAGTTATGGTAAATTAGTAATTAGGTATTTATCTGTCTTCAAGAAAATATTTATCTGTCTTCAAGAAAATTAACACACTCATCTTTCACTTGGCGACTTGGTGTTTTGATGTACACAAGCCTGGAACTATTTGTGCTTGTTTTTAATTGTGTTATGAAGTTCATTGGTTCCTGTTAATGCTTGCAAAAATGAATACTTCATCAGTGATCCTCTTTGATTTCTGTTAAATTTTGCTACAACTCTTCTTTCCATATTATCTACAATTTATTTGTAGATGCTGCTGCTGCTATTTCCTGTGGTAGTCATTAATATTCTTCCATCATGAATCTTAAGTGATGGTAACTTCATGGTAGATTATATGGTTAGCCAAATCACATTCAGATTTGATTTCTTGAATGAAATGATTGCTTGATAGTTGATACATGGAGGTGGTGCACTCTGATGGAGTGATGGTTACATTTTTCTTCCTTCTGGGAGGGGCACATCAGCCCATCTGAATGGTATTGATAAAAAGACACAACAGACAAGGCGGTCATTGTCTGACTATTTCTTTGGTTTGCTTGGGTTGCGATAATGTGCTTTACTTTGGTGCACTACTCTTGATTTCATACCAATCTGTTGCTAGCATGAATCATGATTGCTTTTTGTTGTGTGGTTGAGCAATGGATATAATTGACTTCTTTAGATATCTAGATACTTGCATTTCAAGAACCATTTTGCTGATTGGTGTCTTGGTTGACATTGTAGATGATTTAAATATGCATAGGATTATATGATGTAATAAAGCGCAGGATTGGTGAGCACAGACATGATGATTCAAATACATTGTGGTTGGTTTTCTTTGTTTATAAAATTTGAATAGTGTATATACTACTTAAGGGGAATTCAGCTCTTTTTACCTGCACCATTGGTTGTTAGAAATGATAATTTGGATATGCAGTCATCAGATTCATTACTAATAAATGGACATGCACATAACAACAGAATTGAATGTGAGATTTTTTTCATAGAAAGATGTAATTTGCAAGTGGTAAAAATTGCAGGTTGTAAATTTCAAAATCTTTGGTCAAACATGCAATATGAATGGTAACACAAAAGTTCAAAAAACAGTATCTTCATTATTATTATTATTATTCTTTCTATTTGATATTAAATTTCTAACAAAGATAAGCATCAATTTATCCAGAATTCAGGCAACTGCATATCGTCACACCCTTGGCGCTCTGGGGCATTGATAGTGTGAATCCTGCTGTCCATCAAGTTTAACACTAGCTATCTTTATGGCTATGTAGTTAAGCATATAAACTATAAAGGTATCCACAATGTAAATTTTTCAAAAAAAAAAGTTAACTTATCAATTTGAAGAGTTGACAGTGTGTTGGAATATAGTACACTGAATTGGTTTGAAGTCATGAATATATCATTTAATCAACGGTTATGGAATTATAGTAGTTTGACATTTATTTCAATTACACAGCTTCACTCTCATTTTTAATCAGGCATTTAATTTGTATTGCATGTCACTTTAACTAGTTTTTATATGGGTGGCTGAAGTTATAGTGATTTGTTTATATTATGCTATGTGGATGGCTGATATTATCTCAGTTCAAGCTCTATTTGTGAACAACATTTGGAAACCATAGAGGTCAAAATAATTTTTATAAATTTTATTTATCACATGCAATTTCCTAAAGTTTGCTTGTTGATCAATAGAGTGGAGAATTAAGATTGTTTATATTGCTGTCCTCCACCAAGAATACTAAAGGTTTTTGTGGTTGACTACCATCTTTTGGAGTTTTGGAGATTTATCTCCATTATTAGATTGTGTTAGTTCTGAGGTGTTTTCTCTTTTATCTTCTATTCAACACAATTCTTGAAATTAAAAAATAAATAAATTAATTTGTTATAGTCTTTGAATCTTCTTTCTGCTCTGTTGTTCCAAGTTCAAGAGGATGCATATAAGTGAGAGTGAAACGATTAAATCTTCCTATCCTTTTCTTTCCTTCTGCCTTTTTCCCAATCTAATAATGAATTACAGTGCTTTCTCATCCTCATTTTCCAATTAACTCTTATTTGTGCCTCATTATGTTAGTAGTCCTTAGAATGCAATTTCTTTCTTATGCAGATATAACTGTGTGCACAGTGACAGAATTGAGGATTTGATGAGTGGTGCCTCCAGTTCAGGTGGCCTACGGGCTGCTCTCTCCTATTGTGTGCAGCAAGTACGGAATTATGACTATCATCGCTACCTTTGCCTTCTTGAACTTCCACCAAATATGAGAATAGCTGCTTTTGCACTCTCTGCTTTTAATGTAGAGACATCCAGAGCTATGGATGTGTCCTCTGATCCTAAAATCGGTCTTATGCGCCTGTTGTGGTGGCAAGAAGCTCTGGACAAGCTATACGCCAACAAGTCGATTGAGCATCCAGTAGCACAGGCGCTTGCATCTGTGATATCTCAAAATAAAATTAGCAAGAGTTGGTTGAAGCGTTCGGTGGAAGCTCGGATTAATGATGCCAGAAGAGAGGACACTGACATACCAAAAACCGTTGAAGAGTTGGAGCGGTATGCAGAAGACACTGCATCGACTATTCTGTACTCCACACTTGAAGCGGGCGGCATTAGATCGACAGTTGCAGATCATGCAGCATCACACATCGGAAAGGCGAATGGGCTTCTTTTGCTGCTAAGGTCATTACCTTACCATGCGAGTCGAAACCGCCATCTTGTTTACATACCTGCTGACGTGGCTGAGAAACATGGATTGTTAGTACATCAAAGTGGTCAGTCAGAGATTCGTTTGGATTCCCGTGAGAGCATGTGCGATGCGGTGTTTGACATGGCATCTGTTGCTAATGCACATCTGCAGAAAGCTCGTGAATTGAGAGGAAAAGTGCCGGCTGAAGCCCGGCCAGTGCTTCTACCCGCTGTCCCTGCTCAGGTTATGCTGGATTCTCTAAGCTGTGTGCAGTTCGACGTGTTTGATCCAAGACTAACACGAGGGATTTTAGGGGCTCCCCCTCTGCTTTTCCAATTGAAACTGAAATGGTATTCATGGAGGGGAACATACTAAACATGTTTTCTAGTTAATTTCTACCTTTTGGAACTTCACAATGGCATGCTAATATACAAATAACAAATGGCAAAGGGGGAAACTTTATTTCTTCCCTAATGCAATGCTAACTGAAGTAGTCAAATGGTATTTATCAAAATTCAACTTTGTTGAAATTTTGGTCTCCCTTTTTATTTTGTGATTCAGATTGCCTGCCATCAATTTGTTGATTGGCATTGTAAAATGTAAACCAATAATAATGCTCTTTATTTCCATTTGGCTTTATTCTTTGCAACTTTTGAACAATGTTTTGGCTTTTGGTGTAATATTAGCATTTTGTTCTGTAATTAGATACAAAGATGAAAGCATATATAATGGATGATGACATATATAATACTCCGTACCATATATGTTTTATCATTTTCATTAGTGGACATTGGCATTAATCTGACCTTGAAGGTCAGAGGCTTGTATTTTGTATGGACTGAGCTTTTGTCCTTTCACTTAGGGGTGTGAATTTGGTTAACCAAAAATTTTAACGTTTTAACGGAACTTTATATTATCGAATTAATTGAATTAATTTTTTTTTAATTAATTGATCGGTTAACAGATTAATCAAAATTTTTTAGTTAAATTTTTAAATCCTTAAAATAATACATATAATAATAAATTTAATTACTTTAATACTTATAATAATAATAATAATAATAATAATAATAATAATAATAATAATAATAATAATAATAAATCCATAACTTCAATACAAAATTCAAAGTCCTTAGGGATTTCATTTTAGTTTTAGGAATTTTACATTATATATTTATATATTTATTAAAAATTTTAGTTAACCATTTTGTTAATTCGATTAACAGTTTCGAATTGAATTAATCATTAATTGAAATTTTATGAAATCTCTAATCATTAATCGAATCGAAATATTTCGATTTAAAAAATGGTTAATCAGAATTCGTCAATTAACTAAACTTTCATCGAAGTTTGCATAACCCTATTTTCCTTTAAAAAAAAAAAAAGGGTGGGGGAGGGTTTGATCGCATTCTTGGAAATATTACAATTGATTAATGTGACATTCTGAATGAAGACATTATACTAGTCATTTGAGGATTGAATTCGATCGCATTCTTGGAAATATTACAATTGATTAATGTGACATTGTGAATGAAGACATTATACTTGTCATTTGAGGATAACTATGAAATTATTTGATGAAGGAGAGGTTTCAACAAATTTAAAATGTAGTTTTCTCCCAAAAGAAAAAAAAAGTTTAAAACACAGGAATTATATCGATAAACTTGATGGAATAAAATTGAAATAAAACAAGGTATATGATAAAAATAAAATAAAAATTATGCGGTTATGAAGATGTTACTAGGTTCAAATCACATAGTGAGTTTGGTCAACCCATTAACACATTTTGTCACAAGACAAATGAGATGTAACAATTTAAGAACTAATCCCATATTTAGTGGGATGGAAAATATTTTCTAAGAAAGTTCATTTTCATAAAGTTGAGAAAAATGCTATTTTGTGTTGTTTGATTCGTGATATTCATTTTCATTTGAAAGTAGAATTCTTCAAATTTTGAGGAAAAACAAATTCTTAACTTCATAATATTTTGTTTTTCATGGAATTGGGAAGAAAAGATGACTTGATAGGTCTATTTTACCCCAATTAAATTTTATTTTTTTTAAAAGACATTAAACTTTATTAATTACTATGACTTTTATTATTATTATTATTATTATTATTATTATTATTATTATTATTATTATTATTATTATTATTATTATTATTATTATTATGTGTAGGGGCATTTTGGTCTTTATATTCATTATTCCTTACAATTTTAAATTCAACCAAACAATAGAATTAATATTCCCAATAATTTATTTTCCACAAGCCAAATAATAGAATCAATATCTTCCCAGTCATTTCTTTTCCATGAAATTTAAATTCCATTCATCCTCAAATATTTTCTGCGAATCAAATGTGCCATAATATCTTGGAAGGTGGAAGGTTAGAATAACCTTTTTAAGCCCGAGATAAACACATAGAAATGATTTAGATTTTTTTTTTTTTTAAATGTGAAAGCTCGTACACCACTACCTGAAGGTGTAGTCTAGGTAAAACCTGCCTTTGAGACCTTAGCTAGAAAATAATCACAAGGAGATAAATCTCACAAGGAGATAAATCAACCTATATTGTCCATAGCTGATAGGTTCAAACTATAAGGTTGTCGTCCATAACTTTCTCTCCAGCCACCATCCTCGACTTTTTCACTAGCCACCGCCCCAACTTTCTCTCCAAATATCATTCCGAACTCTCTCTTGTTCAAAATTTTGTTTATATTTCTTTAAAATTGAGTTTCGAAAATGAATATGGAATATTGGAAAAATGACGGATTATAAAAATGAAAAATTAAACAAATAAAAACCAAGAGAAATGGAAAATGAACGAAATAAAGAATTGGGGAAATGAAGTGATTGGACTTGGTTTTCAATTGGGAAATAATAGTTATTACTTCAAATGTATTATCATGTGGTTGGTACTTGGTAGGCTTGTGCTTTGAGATCATGACGAGAAACAACTTTGTAAAAATTTTCTACAAAAGAATTAAAGACATGTTTAATTATTGACAAATTCGTCAAAATTTAATAAATCTACGGACTTTGATGTTTTGATACTTTGACGTTTTAACTATGATCAAAACATCAAAGTAGTTACTTGATAAACTAGCGGTTTGGAGCACTGGATTGCCCCAAACCGCTGGAATCTCAAACGCTGCTCCTAAGAGCCGCGTTTGAGATTGATATTTTAAAAAAAAAATTATATTTTCTCCAAAATGTCCTTACTTTATTATTAAAAAATTAAAAAAAAAAAAAGACAAAAAACTACTGAAGAGCTTTGAGGCTCCATTTATGAGGATCCATTGCCGTGCTCAACCGAATTCGGATGGGCACGACTAAAATTAGTGAAGTCTTGAAGCTCATTTTATAGGAGGCTCAAGGTTCCTTCTCCACTTTTTTCACCGATGTGGAAAAAGTGGAAAAACAAAGGGCTCCCCTTCTTATTTGTTTTTTTTCTTCTCTTTTTTGTTATTATTATTATTATTATTGTTTGTGAAATATATGTATACCCTTTAGGTTATTTTACATGTTAATTGTTAACTTAAATAATTAATTTTACCAAATATATTTTTACAAATCGTTGATACAATTCGCTAGTCAAATCCAATAATACAATATGATATTTGTTACCGCTAACATAATTCGCTAACCGCTAACCACTGATTGCTAAACAAGACCTAAGGTTGAATTTAAAAATTCAAACCCGTTTAAATTCATGCTTATGAATTTGTCTCAATTCTCCAATAAACTAAATTTCAACAATACTCATCCCACTAGTCAACTAATTTCAATTCAACAATACTCATCCCACTAATAAAGGTACAACATTACACCTTACACCATAGAAATGTCATATTAATTACTCCCTCAATTCCATCAATTCCATTTTATGTGTATGATTCAGTTAACAAAACATGACTAAAGTCATTTTTTACTCAATTTTTTAAAATATTAAGTTTAGTATTAGTATATAAAAATGATATATTTAAAAACTACATTAAAAGTATTATTAAAATAATTTAAAAATACTAAAAAAACAAAAAAAAACAAATAAGAAAGAGTTGGTTTGACCAGGACTATGTGGTCTAATGGTATTCGGGTTGAACTTCCATTTGGAAGGTTGTGAGTTCGAGCCAGTGACTTTCAAAAAAAGAAAGATATTGTGTGGACCACAATCCAAGTTTCGCGTATTTTTTTTTTTTTTTCACGCGACCCACTGCAACATAAACTTTTATAACTCATAATGTACATTATTCTAAAGCATAATTTACATTATTCTAACTCATAAAGTACATTATTTTACCCCAGAAGTTTCATTATTCTAAACAATAAAGTATATTATTCTAACACATAATGTACATTATTCTAACACATAAAATACATTATTCTAACTTATAAAATTCAACGATGTCATTTTGGACCGTGATCCACAGTTGTCCACACAATAATTTGTCCACAAAATGAGACAGATGAAGAATTTGTTTAATTCATTCTTGGGTGGGTCATTGAACTATAGACAAATAATACATACACGATGCACACATTTATTCTTTATATTGGCATATGCTCCTATGGTACCAAAATTCCGGAAATAAACCTAATTTCAATGTATTGTGTGGACAGGACCTCCCACTTGAATATTTTCCAGAATGTAAAGCTACCAATTATTATGGTACAGAAGGCTGGAGGTAGGGATTCTAAAATATCTATGTCCCATTATACATGTTTCCTTCATAAAGTTGTGATTGCAAATATTATTCCAGTCACTTTCACTCTACCTTTCATTTAATTTTTTAAATTTTTTATTTTTTGTTGCTAATAATAGATTCTAAGTTTCATTTATTTATTAGTACAAGTTGATGGATTATCAAGTGACATGACAAAACATTAGCAAATTAATGACCATTTATTATCATTCTTTCTGCCAGTTATCAGTTGTGTTACCTAACATCTCTATGCATGGTAGTACTCTATGTAGCACAAAAATGAGAAATATGAAATGGAAAGTGAAGAAACAACAATTTAAAAAAAAAATGTTTTTCTTTTCTCCTCTTGAATTTTCCTTCTAATCGATCACATCACGATGTGATTTTCATTTGAGTGCTAATGAATTGGATGGTCCCACCATTAATTAAAAAAAAATTAGTTAATAATCAAATTCTGAAAAAATACACTGCATGAGGGGAATGTGTTGTTTATGTGCAATGTATATCGTGCACCACGGTGCACATAGCAATGTGCGCTCAGGCACAAAACGACGTCGTTACAATTGCTGTTGACGGGGATTGACGTAACAGACGTCACTCCACCCGTTCAAATGGACCAAACCCCATTATGTGTATTCAGTTAAAAGTTTTTGTGTATTGTGTTATGAATTTATGTGTATTCAGTTAAGAGTTTATGTGTATTATGTTAAAAGTTTATATGTATTTTGTTAACAGTTTGTGTATTATGTTATGAGTTTATGTGTATTATGTTATGAATTTATGGGTATTATGTTAAGAGTTTATGTATATTATGTATTATGTTAGATTATGTGTATTCTGTTATGAGTTTATGTGCATTCGAAACAGAGAATTTTTTTTTTTTTTTTTTTTTTTTTTGGAGAAAGCACCAAAACGACGTTGTTTTGGGAGGCACGGGGCGCAAA